CAAGGCCTTGATGCTGGTGTCAGGACAGGCAAGAGGGTGCTTGGTCTGTGGACGCACAGTGGTGTCCACGTCTACCTGGGAGCCTCTTGCCCTCCAGTCCTACTCCTCTACCTCCTCTAGCTTCAGGCTGCCACCTGCCTACAGGGCTGCCAACCAGCCCACCACCAGGACCACTGGTCTTGGCCTGTTAGGACCCACACTAAAATGAACTTTGGAGACCCTACTCGGGAAAGGAATAAGCGCTCATACCCTCACTCCCCACTGTGCACACCTTCCCCCACCCCTGTCACCCCATCACCCAAAGTCCCATCGTCCAGCTTAGGGGCCTCGAGTCTCGCTCATCCTTAGCTTTGTGAAGGGCACCCCTTCTGGCCTCAGCCACAAGACTGGATGCAGGGTCTGTGCAGTTCCCCACCTGCCCCACCATGTCCTTATTCAAACCAGGTAACAACAGACCCACACAGATCCCCAAGCAACTATGAAAAGGGGAAGCAGAGGGATAATTTAAAAAAAAAAAAAAAAAAAAGGACCCAGCAGGTGGGGGAGGTAAGTGGGGTGGGAAGAGAGAGGAGGCCCGTTGCCAGGCAATCAGGCCTGCTCAAGGCCTTCCAGGCTGTTTGCATATCAATGAGCCTCCCATTTTTAGTACCAGGGCTGGAGCACCACCCACTGTGCTTCCCCCCTCCCCCCCAAGCCGCCTTTCGCTGGGGGCTCAGCTTGACTCTCCATTGCCCAGCTGAGGCCCTGTGGGCTTTGGAATGAACGGGTGGCTGCTGCTACCCATGCTGGACAACCGCACCAAGGGTACACAGTGTCCCCAGCTGGCCCAGCCTGCCAGACCACTCCTGAGAAACCAGAGTTGAATGCCAAGCCTCTGCCTTTAGGGAAGGGGCGTTGAGGATGGTGCACAGACCTGAAGCTGCACCCGAGCAGAGTCACACAGTCACTGGAGCACTCAAGAAAGTCTCCTAGAAGCAGTCAGTGGACAGAAGCCCGTGAACACCCATAAACAGAAGCAGGTATTGAGGGTTGGGTGGGAACCCACCCACAGGGCCATGTGCTCTGGCACTCATTCCTGGGCATGGGATGTACACATGCTGTCTATATCTGCACACACGGGGGCTGGGTCCTTGCGGACCCTTGGGAGCCATCATCATAGTCACATGGGGCAGCCTGGGAGACCCGGAGGCTGGCATGGTGGCCCCCAAAACAAGTGGTCCACGACTTCCCTCCCATTGCTGACTTGCGTTTTTTGAAGCAGGAGGGGGCGGGGAGCAACGCCTATCGTGTGTTCCCAGAACCCAGTTCAGTGAAGACGAGGGGGATGGTGCTGGGAGGGGAGCACAGCTACAGCAGGAACACACAGACAGAAGGTTCCACCGGACACCACCTTTAAGCCTGCAAAGTCCAAAGGCTCATTTGCATATGAGAAGTGATGATGAGGAGAGACTTATAAAAAAGGAATGAGGCAAAAGAAAGAAGAAAGGAGAGGTGAGATTAGAAAAAAATGAGGGGAAGAGGAAAACTCGGTTACAGACAGCTTCTCCCCTTCCTACTCCCCCACTTCTCACCCCTGCAGGCTCACCAAAAATCCCCTCAGCTCTCTAGGCTCCATCTAGCCTCCCTCACTGCAGTCATCCCATAACCAAGCCGGCAAACCCAGCCCTCTTCCCTGGAATACCCGCTGCCTGTGATCTGGGGTCCCCCGAGAGCCAGGGACCAGGGTGGGGTGCTCAGGGCCTTCCATGGGAAGTGAGAGGGCACTGGGGCGCTCACCTTTCCCTTGCTATTCCCTTGTTTAATGAACACATCTCCCTTTTTCTCTAATTAGGTGGAACAAACAACTTGAACCAGAATTTTTATTTCCCAGAAAAGCACACGCCTAGACCCAGTAAATATGTCATTAATCATCATTCCGAGACGGAGGAGCACGCTGGGTGCAGGGAGGAGGAGAAACAGTCAGAGGGCCTAATTAGAGCTCGGGCCCCCTCGCTTCCCTCCCACCGGCACCCACAGGGCCCGGCTCCCCTCCACCGCCCAGAGCCCATCCTTCCGAGGGGTTTCTGGCAGATTCAAGCTTATGTAAATGTCCCTTGTTAACACAATGGAAAAGTAAAGAAAAGAAGATGGGAAGAACAATACCAGCCCCCTTCCTGCCTCCCTTCCTCCCCTCACCCTACCCAAGGTCTTCGTTTTATCCAGGAAATCGTTCTTATTATCGCTTGGCTATTTATAGTCAGGCGAGGCCTGCTGGAGAGCCCCAAGCCAACATGCTGTAACTTGGAACCGGCTGCAGCTCCCTGCTGCTCCGGCTTTAGCTTGAGGCTCAACTGCACTCCCCTCACCCCCTTTTGCTGGCCCTGAGGCAGGTCTGAAGACTCTGGCCCACTGGCTACCGGGACCCCCTCCTTGACTAGCTGTGTCTGGTCACATTACTCTCCTCCTTCCCTCTGGGTGGACCCCTCTGTCCAGGACCACGGCCAGCACCCCAAGTCCCAGGGCCTGCTCTGTGGCTCCCTCTAGAATTTGATCATCTGGCTTTGGCTAAAGTACAATGCACTACTCTTGATAGAGACTCTGGCCCTATCCTCCTGAGGGTCGCCCTGAGTCGAGAGGGACCACACTAAACTGAGGACCCAGAAAGCCATGTCCCAGTGGTACACATCGCCCTAACTGTTCCCACCTGCCCTGTGAAGATCACAATACCACCTCAGCATCTCAGGAGCTGTGGCAGAGGGTCGCAGCCCAGGGCAGCCCAGGGCTTACCCATTCGGAAATGCAAATTCTAGCTCCACCCTGCAAGTTCCTGATTCAATTTGAACTCAGTTTTCTCTTTTGCTCAATAGAGATAATGCTCCCTCCCTTCCAGAGCCCTTGTGAGAAACAGACACAATGTTGACGTCACTTTATGGGAGATTTTGAGGGGGCAGAGTCTGTTCATCTAGTCCCTGACTATGATCAGAAAAACAGGACTGCAGCCGGGCTCGGTGGCTCAGCCTGTAATCCCGCGCTTTGCGAGGCTGAGGTGAGTGGATTGCCTGAGCCCGTGGGTTTGAGACCCGCCTGGGCAGCAAGACCTCATCTCTACAATAAATCAAAAAATCAGCCGGGCATGGTAGCGCATGCCTGTAATTCTGGCTACTTGGAAGGCGGAGGCAGAAGGATCGCCGGAGCCCAGCAGGTCGAGGCTGCGGTGGCCGGGAGCGGCCACTGCACTCCAGTCTGGGCGACAGAGTGAGACGCCAACTCAAAAAAAAAATAAATAAATACATAAATACATAAATAAATACATAAAATAAAAGTAAATAAAACAGGACTGCATCCCTGAAGGGAGAGATGGCCATTCCCAGAATTGGAAGTCTTTGCATACCGAGCGGACTCCAGTCCTGACCTGAAAGTGCTCCCCACACCCAGCACACCCTTTCCAGCTTGCACATACCTTAGTGGGCCCCAAATGATAGGGAGGTCACTGGAAAGGGGAACAGGGGAAGGAAGGGAATGGGAGCCATAAGCGGGACCTTGCTACAGAATGACATCGTGGTCCTGTAGAAAAAAAACAATGACCTTGGAAGACAAGAGAGTAGAGGTTTTAGGACTTGTGTTCATTTCCTAGGGCTGCCATAACAAAGCACCACAACTTGGCACTTAAAACAACAGAAATTCATTCTCTCACAGTTGTAGAAGCCAACAAATCTGAAATCAAGATGTCAGCAGGGCCTTGCCACCTCCAAAGCTCCCAGGAAATATTCTTCCTTGCCTCTTCCAGCTCCTGGTGGCTCCTGGAGTTCCTTGGCATGTGGCAGTATCTCTCCAGTCTCTGCCTCTACCCTCACATGGCCTTCTCCTCTGTGTCTCTGTCTTCTCTTCTTATGTTGAACTCCAGTTGTTTTGGCTTAGGGCCCACTCTAAACCCAATGTGATATCATCTCAAGATCCTTAACTAATTACCAATTACTTAACCAATCTGCAAAGATCCTATTCCCAAATAAAGTCACAGTCTTTAGAATTTGGGGACACTATTCAATCTTCTGCAGGATCCTAGACTTATTTCACCACCAACTTGAAGTGTGAATTGAGTTAAGCTCTGAAGCCTCTCTTTCATCACCATCAAATGGAAGAGAATGGCATCTGTCCTGCCTATGATTGGTCAAGTCGCTAATGAGATCAGGAAGTGAAATGATTTGAAAAGTTGAAAGGGGTTACATTGATAAATAATTCGGAAAGTTGGTGTGGGCCAGATGCAGTGGCTTATGCCTGTAATCCCAGCATTTTAGGAGGCTGAGGCAGAAGGATCACTTGAGTCCAGATGTTTGAGACCAGCCTAGGCAACATAGCAAGACCTCATCTATATAAATTAAAAAAAAAAAAGCAAACAACTAGCTGGGCTTGGTGGCACATACCTCTAGTCCCAGCTACTCAGGAGGATCCCCTGGTTATGCAACAGCACTCCAGCCTGGGCAACAGAGTAAGATCCCAACTCAAAAAAAAAAAAAAAAAAGTTAGTGCACACTGATTCTGCCCACCTCCCCACACACCCTTGCCCTGAACCCATGCCCCAAGCTGCACCCCTTTCTGCAGATTGTCACCCCTCAGGGGTCACAAATACCTGTCTGTTGCAAACCACCTCCTTACTTCCTGTAGACCCTGAGACCCACCCAGACACCATAGACAAAAACAGACACAAGTTTATTTCTACATTGGACCTACCCAAAGCCTGGTTTCCACTGAGCCCAGGCTGGTTTCCTCTGTGCTTTTAGCGTGCAAGTCCAGACTAATTTTCACACATGTTGGAAAACTTTCAAGCTCCTTTTTCCTTCCACAGTCCATGCTTAGGCAGTCCTTGGAGCCAAGGGTAATGTCCCTTGAGTCTCCTGAGCTGAACCCTCCCACCCACGGCTCTTCCTCCTCCTCTCTAGCCTGGGGCTTGTGCAGCCCCACCCACCCTGGCCATCCCAGCAGAGTGACAAGGAGCTTTCTATCCCTTCTCCCCTTCCCCCCAGACCCTGCTTCGGGATGGCAAGCGTGAGAGCATCGTCAGCACCCTCTTCATCTCCCCCAGCGACGTGGAGAATGGGCAGAGCATCGTGTGCCGTGCCACCAACAAAGCCATCCCCGGAGGGAAGGAGACCTCGGTCACCATTGACATCCAGCGTGAGTTCCCCAGGCCTTACCAAGCCCAGGGTGGAAAACAGGCCATCTGATGGCAGGAAATGGGCCAGACAGCTCTGATGTGTATGGGCAGGAAGGATCATCCTGTATTTCTTATGGTCCTGTGAAGCACCTCACAGATGACACCTGTACAGGGTGGAGCTTCGACACCCATAAGTGTGGTCAGCTGCTGGCTCTGCTGGCCAGATGGGGTGTCCCACTGTTGGAGAGGAAGCCAGCATGGAGATGCTGGGAGCTAAAGGGCCCTCAGGCTCCAGAATGAGCAAGTAGAGAGTGTGCTGGTCACTGTCATGGGAGGGTGGTCAAGGGGATGAGAGGAAGAGAAGGAAGAGTAGTATTTAGTCATCTCACACTTTACGTGCATTATCTCATTTAGCCTTTACAACAGCTGTTTGGGGGAGGTATGACTGTGGTCCCTATCTGGGGAAACAGAGGCACCAAAAGATTGGTTAACTTGCCCAAGGCCACATGGGTTGCAAACCCAGGCAGTGTGGCTCTCTGGAGCCCACCCTGGTAATGCCCCTCTACACTCCCCCATAGGCAGCCTCAGGGGATGTCAGGTGTTAGGATAATATTAATAATAATGAAACTTTGAAGTTCGCCAACATGGCATTCCAAAAGCCACCTACAGGTGATTCCTAAGGTCTCTTAAAAGTCTCCCTAAAGTGTCTGTTGGGCCGAGAACCAAGAAGAGCTTAACAAGGTCTTTCCAGTGGTCTTCCTCTCAGGACTGGATTTGTTTAGGTTTGAAGTATCAGGACTCAGAAGTGGCCATTTCTCCTCTTAGACTCCCTTCCCTGCCACAGAGCGTGATGCCACCATGGCCTAGTGGCTGCTTCGGTCCTGGACAATGAATTACAAAGCTGGAGCTGCAGGCTGCATTCATGTCCTTAGCATTTAATTCCTCTTAAACCAAATGTGTTTTAAAACACCTCCTAACAGCCCCAGCTATTTGCACCTTCTGAATTCTAGGTTCCCCACGACTCTCCAGGGATCTGGAGTCCAGAGTTGCTGTGTCTTAGGGTTTTGAGAACCCATCCTGGCATCCAGAGTGAAGAAGTTCCCACTCAATGTGTAGACTCCTTACAGAACCACTTAGATTCCAGAGGTCAGAAGAAATGGCTGTAAGCCTTGGGTGGGCTCTAGACAACCAGACACAAAGGCTGAGCTCTTGGGAAAGGCTTTATCTTCACTGTCTTGCCACCAGCTATTAACAAAGCACCTTCCCCATCCCAGGCCCCATACTCACTCACCCCAAGGATTTGTCTTTCTGTCCTCATTCAGTGAGAACCAGGAACCGCAGAGCTCTGGCCAAGCCTAGAGCAGGGTGGGGGGCACTTAGAGCACAAAATGTAAGGAAGTACTCACTCTGAGGGTCTGTAGGTACAGGGTCAGCTCCAGACTAGTGAGTGTGGAGCCCTTCTTACACTTTGCATCCTAGACTTCTCCCTCCCCTGGCTCTAGCCCTGTCCTGGCTGTCAGCACCACCTGTTTCTGCGCAGTGAGCAGCCATGGCACAAGTCCAGCTACTGAGAGGAGGCAAGATATACAAGGTCAGGTTGTCCCATGTCCAGTATGACTCCACCAACCATGAGCAGGTAGGCCTAAGCCTGTCACTTTACCCCCAGGACTCCAGTTCCTTGTCTGATTTGACCAAATGACGGCCAAGGACACTTCTTACTCTAGGATTGGCCATGAATCAGAGCTGTCTCCCCAGACACAAGGAGAAAGGGTGGGAAACACACAAGGCATCCAAGCCTCCTACTACCAGGCTGCCATTTGTTTCCACTGCCATTTGTAAAGCCCCCTCCTCTTCTTCTCCCACCTGCCCCCAGTCTAGTCAGGAGGCCTATGCTAGCTACAGAATCTCACACAGAAGAAACCATCTAGCTGGCTCCCCATGTCAGCAGCCTGGGCCCTGGCAGGGAAAGATGGGGAAAAGCAGTGTTTCTGCTCCAGGCACCATCCATCCTCTCCAGACAACAAGAAGGTCATCATAACAACAGCCCACGCGGTGTTCTAGATGCACTCCAACAGAGGGTCAATTGGCCAGGTGCACAGATGACAGTCTGCATCCCAAGAGAATGCTAGGCCTTGCCAGGTCTCTGGGCCCTTTCCAGCTTCCTTTCCCAGAACATCTCAGCCACATAGGAGAGAAGCTTCTGGAATGAGGCTTGAAACCCAGCAGGCCAGTTTCCTAGATCAGTCCCATCCAAGGCAGAACAGAGTAGTGGTTCAGGCCACAGCATTCTTCCTGCTTTGAATCCTGGCTCTGCCACATACTGAGTGACATTGATCTGGTTAGTTGACCTCTTTGTGCCTCAGTTTCCTCATCTGTACATGGAGATAATAATGCTTACCTCCTAAATAGCAGTGAAGATTAAAGGAAATCACTCGTGTCAAGCCCCTAGCACAGTGCCTGACACATTGTGAGGGCACCACACCTGTCAGCTGCTGTCAGAATATACAACCATAGGTGTGTGGTGGCCCCTCCCCAGGTGTCCCCACAGACCCAATGGGGAGAGGTCTTCATCCCATTTGTCCCAACACTCCATCTCCCCTAACCTGAGAGTGTTCTATGTGCGTGCCAAGTCATGCACACACCCTCTCCATCCCTCCCTCTTCCTCCTCCTCTTCCTTCCTCCTCCATTTACTCATTTGCTCATTCGGGAAGCATCCAACTGTTTACTGTGGACACCATGGGCTGGATCAGAGCTGCCTTTGCAAACCTGCTCATTTTCTCAGTCAACCAAGAAGCATCCAAACTCAGCAAAAGCACATTTGTTGTTTGTTTCCCTTGGTCTTTATATGTTACCCAACGGAAGACAAAGCCCCCAGATTGAGTAATGGAAGAGAAAGCTTAACACCCCCAAAGCCTCGCCACATCTGGACTCTGTGTCCAGCTGCCAAGTTTCAAACGGATGTGCTATGAAATCACTGAGTCATGAAGTTTCTCTCTCTTCCCACCCCCTCCTCGATGTAATACTTCCCCTGAAAACACACACACACACACACACACACACACACACACACACACACACACACACAGGCATGTGCAGGTTGCTGATGGAAACACTAACATACTCTCAGCTGCAACATCTGTTCAGTGTGATCTCAGTTCCACCAGCTACATCAAAGCTGCCCTCCTGCAAGTTATGCAGCCAACATCACAAGTGGGATTAAAATCATGTTTAATAGTTGGATATGACATCAACTATTTATACCTCTGGAGCTTGGCAGATTCCTGAAAATTTCTATTCTGTACATCCAGAAAAGAGGGATAGAGGGAGAGGCTTGGGCACCACTGGTCGGAGGGTGGAGGTGCAGATAAGACTAGTGAGTATGGAGCCCTCAGGGACCCTTCAGGACAGTTGGGGCCCAAGGATAATGCAGAGAGGAAGGGCAGAGGCAGGAGAGAGGCCTCCCCACGTGGGCTGCTAATGGCAGGTATGTGATGGAGCATCGGCAATGAGAAATCTCCGACGGGTGTGTGCTCTATACCTCTGCCTCCCGAATCTTCACTTTATGAAGGACACTGCAGCAAAGGATGGGCCTCCTGGAGCAGCACCCCAAGTTCTGCTGACCCGAGCAGGCTGGAGTCTTGCTTCCTTTGTGGTGCCCTTCGTGGGGACCCAAGAGGTCAGCACATTTCCTGGAAATCTCTGAGAAACTGGCTTCTTTGCTTTTTTTTCTGAAAACAGGCAGAGACTCCAGAAAGTCCTTGTGACCTTCCAAAAATTTGCTCTGCTTGTGGGTGGGGATTGGACAGGAAGATGCAGCCCAGGCACCTGGTGAGCCCCCGGGGGACCAGGCTGCCCTCTTAACTCAGCCAGACCTCTGGCCATGACAAGGAAGAAGGATGTGCACTGGCTCCTCATCTTCCCTCCCTCAGAGTGTGGATGCCCCAGGGTGCCAAGACCTGGGAACCACCAAGAGCACAGCAGCAGGGTGACACCACCCCTGGAGAAGGTCGGGATCTGGTTGCCCCTGAGGAAGGCAGGGCCAGACTGAAGCAAGGCCATCCTCAGGCGGCTCTCCACCTCTCTGTGACTCTGCTCTGGGCTGCTCTCCATCTCTGCTGCAGACCCTCAAGCTCTGTTTTTATCCTCACCTCTTGCAGTGTCTGCTTCTCCCTCGTTTCTCTATTCCTCACTATTTGATTTGGTCTTTCTCCCCAACACCCTGTCATTTTTTGTCTTCGTGTGCTGTGTCTCCCTTGGTCTTTTCTGCTTTCAATCTGAAATCCTCATCTGATTTTGAACTCAGCACACACACCAGTCTCTCTGTCTCTCCATCACTCTGCTCACTGCCTCTCTTGGTTTCTGTCTCTTTTTCTTACGCCACCTCTGCATTTTGCAGTGCATGTGTATGGGTATGTGTGTCTTTCTGTCTCTCTTCCTATGTTTTTCCCTGTCTCTGTCTTGCTCTCCCTCTATCTCTATCTCTCTTGTCTTTCTGTCTCTCTCTCTTTCTGTGTGATGTCACTTTCTCTGTCTCGCTGATCTCTCTGTCTCTGTTTCTCTCTCTGTCTCTGTCACTTTCTGTCTATCTCTGTCCGTCTCTGTCCTTTTCTCTGTCTCTGTTTCTCTATTTCTGTCTCGGCCCCCATCCCCCTTCTTCTTTCTCTTCCTCTTGGCCTCCATGTCTCTCCTCTGTGTACGTGTCATTCTGCCCTACCTCCAATCCCATCTACACAGATCTCTCTGGGTCTGTCTGTGGTTCCTGCCTCCTGTCCCTCTCCCTCTCTCTGACTTTCTTCTCCTCCACCTCCCACCATTTAGCACTTCAGAGCTTGGCTTCTTATCATGTCAAATGAGAAAACCATCCCCAGCCTGGGGAGCTGAGGCCGGGTGACACTAGCCAGGACTGAGTGGAGATGATTAAGCTGATGAAAGGGTGTAAATGCTGCTTTCAAGTTAACAAACGCCCCAGAACCTTTACAAAATGAGATAATAAACAGACATTTCAAAGACAGAAAGTGTGTATGGAAGCGAGGCTGAGTGTCCACATGCCCCCTCTGGCCCTGCACCCCTCTTTCCCCTCTCCTTCCTGAAGTGTTTTGTTCTGCCTGAGAGCTGAAGGATGGGGCAGCTCCCAGGCCCACACAGCCTCTGCTTCCTGGCTGGGTGTTCATGGCAACACCAGGCCTTGTCCACAGAGGAGCCCTAAACCCCCTCCAGGACTGTGTGAAGCAGGCACCTCAGGGAATGGAGCAGCCTCTTGCCAAGCCCCCCAACGAAAGGCCAGCGGCTGCTCTGGCCTTTCCCCTCCATGTCACCCGGGGGGTCTCCTTGCCCCGTTCTTCTTTCTCCAGTCTACAGTGACTCTCCTCTCTCTGCAGACCCCCCACTGGTCAACCTATCGGTAGAACCGCAGCCGGTGCTGGAGGACAATGTCGTCACGTTCCACTGCTCTGCAAAGGCCAACCCGGCTGTCACCCAGTACAGGTGAGAGTCACTGCTGGGGAGGCAAACTGGGCACTGGTTTCCCCACCTCCATGCCTATCTTACAAGATGTCACTTAGGGTCTTGGCAGGCCACAGTGTGGTCCTGGTTCACAGCAGGTGTCCAATAGCCTTCTCCCCTTCCCACCATGCCCACCTGCCTGCTGGGTAGGTCCCCTTCCCCTCTCCTCCGTGCATACATTTCTCTGCCATTGGAGGCTGCACAAATCACTCCCTCTGAGTTTATCCTGTATTTCTACACAGAGTGAAAGAGGCTCAGGAATGACAGAATGACAACAAAATCAGAACCTCCATTCTAGTCTGTGCTCATCACACAGCTCACCTGGGTAGGGTAGGATTTTCAGGACAACAGCCCCTTCTGGTGGGTGCCTGGACCATATGCACCCGTGGTCCTTTGTGCCCCTTGCTCACAACCCTGATTCAAGCATCACTGTTTTTTCCATGCACGTCTCTGTCTTATGACAGAACTTCTTGAAGGCAGAAACTGCAGTTTAGTCACTATAAGTCTCAGCATGGAGCACAGCACGTGACATAAACTAGATGCTTCTCAAATGTGTCTGACTGATCCAGTAAACACACAGAGCTGCTTCTCCCACATGTGCCTCCTGCCTATGCACCATCACCGCACAGAATTACAAGAGACTAAGTGACCTCAGAGGTGCTCAAAGGCAGACTTGAGCAGCTCACCTCCTTCGTGATGCTGCATAGAACTCACCACCACCCTGACTCTACCCCTCCGTCCCTTCCCACCAGCCCAGGCTTAGGTGGTGGAACCCAGGGCATCACCTCCATCATTGATCTGGGTTATCAAGCTGCAGCATCAGCAAGTGCCAGGAAAGCTAATGGTCCTGGCCTAGGAAATGAGCCAGCAGGCGGAGAAGAGAAAGGGAAGACAAGAGGCAGTGTGGCCCCAGTGGGCAGAGTGGAAGGAAATGGACACAGAGGCAACCAGGGATTTGGGTTGGGCACAGGAGAAACTCCCTGCAGTGTGGATAATTAAGCAGCACTGGAGCCAGAAACCCGGGAAGGGCATTGAGTCTCTCTCCCTGAGGATATTTTAAAATAGGATGAAAACCCATCTGTCCTGTCCAATTTAACCGTTCACTGGAATGAAGGCAGAAGAAAGGTCAGAGGACTTCCAGGTCCTTTCCAAGTCAAGACTCCAGGCTCCCTGGAATCATGAGGCCCAGCCAGGTCCAGGGAGTAAGTCTGATTTGGTGGGGTCAGAAGTGACTAAAGATACGGGAGAGAAGCCCAATAAGACTCCCTTTGCCTGGACTTCCACCCTGCACCCACCAGGCCTGGGCTTCTCTGCACAAGTTTAGCTTCTCTCCTCTGTCTGCTCCCAGCTCTGTGCATGGTCCCTAAACACCAGGCACAATGTGCCCAGAAAATACTTCTAATACCAGTTTCTCAGGGCAGCCCTTCACATCCACAGACCACCCAGCAGACCACCACCCCCAATTTACCCAGAATGCCTGCTGAGCCCCAGAGACCAGGCCACACAATGTCCAGCTTCCCTTTCCCCTTGCAGCCAGGCTCTGGTCACCTGAGGACCAAACAGCAGGAGGGTTGGGTGGACAGCAAAGCGGCACACCCCACACCTAGCATCCTCTGTTCACAGGTCTGACTCCTCCACCCCAACCAACCTTGTAAACAGCACAGTTTGAGCAAACACCCAGGAAACCAGGCTGCTGGGCCCAATCCCCAAGGTCACTACCTTCAACAAAGCAGAACAGGCATGATGAGAAGGAGAAGAAGGTGTGGATCAGCACAGAAAGAGATAATCCCAAAGCACGTGTGGGAAAATGCTAACAGCTGGGGAATCCACACATAGCGAAGATGGCAGTTAATGGGACTATTCTTGCAGCTTTTCTATAATTTTGAAGTTTGTTTTTTTTTGCAAGCTAAAAAGTTAATAAACAAGCAGAAAACATTCGGATTTCCCTAGGCTACGGGTGCCCTGTGAGTCCTCCCTCTCATCCTGCCCTAGAGTTCACAGTTCACAGCCAGCCCTTCCTGTCCCAAGGAGAAGCTGGAGGGACAGGGAGAGCAGGGTTCCTTGCAGGGTCCACTAGTTCTTATTGGTCATTTTCCCTCATGGCCTTCTGAGTAGCGAGATCAGTGTCCCTCCAGTTCTCCAGAGGCTTTGGGGGAGACCTTCCAGCCTCCAGGTTAATGTGGGAGAGTCAGGGTGGCCTGGGCAGGGAGGAGGTGGGGGCTGTAAAGAGAGAAGGCAGTAAGCACCTGCACCCACCCATACTCGCTCAGACTCCTCATTCCAGTAGCCCGCTACCTGTTCTAGATGAGGTGTTGGGATTCAAGAGGAAAAACTGTAAGCAAATCTCATATGAATACATTGATATTTCCCAACTGACAAGATTATTGGAATCTGTTTCTTTACTTCCGTTCATCTTGATTACTTCCTGCTCCACCTAAGTGACTGTAATCTCTGAAATTAGAGATATGCCCTCCCCCACCCCAGGGTTTGAAAAGAGGGTATGGCCAGGCTCGGTGGCTCAGCCTGTAATCCCACACCTTTGGGAGGCTGAGGTGAGTGGATTGCCTGAGGCCACAGGTTCAACACTCGCCTGGGCAGTGAGACCTCATCTCTACAATGAATCAAAAAATCAGCCGGGCGTGGTGGTGCATGCCTGTAATTCCAGCTACTTGGAAGGCTGAGGCAGAAGGATCACCGGAGCCCACCAGGTCGAGGCTGCGGTGGCCGGGAGCGGCCACTGCACTCCAGTCTGGGTGATAGAGTGAGACTCCAACTCAAAAAAAGAAAAGAAAAGAAAAGAAGGTATGGATGGACAGGGAGCTATCCCCAGTAACTCGGAACCCAGGGCCAGCACAAAAAGTTTTGGAGCCCTTTCGGCTCTGAGGGTCTCTCAGTGGACCCCAACAGGTAGCAGGATGGGGGCACCCACCCGAGATGAAACGCGGGGCTGTTTGAGGACAAACTGGCAACCGTGACATGCCAGGCCTCCTGATTCTGTGATATAAATAATTAATCCTCTTACATTTGTTCAGAACAAATTAGACATTGATTGGAAGAGGCTTAAGCTGACTCCATTTTCGGAGGGGCTAGGAGAGGTGAGGAAAACAACAGTAGAGAAGGCAGGGAGGTGGGTGGGAGGGTGAGGAGGGAAGAGGAAAGACAGGGAGGAGGAGGAGAAGGGAGACCAGATGGGGGCGGGAGGAGCTGGCTCTTTGGGTTCTTGGCCTTGATCCCCTGACCAGCCGCTTGAGTGTAGTGGTTTGAGTGTCTGCATTTTTGGCAGGAAACCCTCAGAGGGTATTTTTGGTGCAGGAAAGGAAGAAAAGGGGAGGGGAAAAAGACTAGCTGAGGGAGATGTGAGCAAGGGGACTCTCGGGGTTCCAAAGGCACCTCCCCAAAAGGCCTGGCCTTGGGCATGTGAGGGCCCAGCCCCAATAGCTCATCCTGCCCATGACCCTGGGGAAGGTTGGTCAGATAATCCCTCCTGTTCCTCCCCCTGCCTCTCTGAGAGGGTCAGAACCGAGGAGAAGCTAAGGGCAGGCCGCACAGGGGCCAGTTCACACAGCACAGCTCTGCTGGGGCAAGAATGCTTCCTCTCCCACAGCCGACCCACCCTCTTGCCTTCCTCCTCTGGCTCCCTCACCATGAGGGGGAGGCCAGCCTGGTCTGAGGAGGGGGGCTGTTGTGCCTGGAAATCTGGGTTCCAGGCCTGCAGGCAGGCACCCCAGAAATTCTGATAACCCAGGGCCAAGCTGGAGGTACTTCATGGTGAGGAGCCCTGGAAGGAGAGAGGAGAAAACCCCACCTTCAGGACCCCCTGAGCAAGAAACAAATGGCCTGCCCCTCACTTGGGCCCAGGCCCACCCCAGAACAGCACCCGGTGCCATGAACAACCAGGAGTGGAAGCCGGCCTGGGCCTCCCTGCCCTCCCCCAAGCCCAGCCAGTTCCCACCTAGCCTCTCCTGCATCCCACCACCTGGCCCCCCTTGCTTCAGCAAGATGGAAGGAACTGGGACTGGACACACATCCCCAACCGTGTGCCTGGAACTGAATTCATCTGCCTCAGGCAGGGGCCAGCCAACTATTAAGTCTGGTCATTAAATTAAAGTTAAAGATTGAAATAACTCATGAATAACTCATAATGGTTTGTTGGGAAGCTCCTTAAGCTCTCAGGGAGCTATGGCTTGCTCTGTTGTTAAACTGTAATTGTTATTATTAATCGTGTTCTTAATAATTACCCAATATTAATTCGCGATAACAACTGCATGGTGCCGGCCTAGGTGTTCTGTGTCATGCAGAGAAGCGGCGTCTCTGGGGGCTGGATGGACCAGACAGAGGCAGGAGCTCATGGAGGGAAGGGCAGGAGGCAGCGTGTCGGTGCCAGGAAAGTTTCCAGGAAGGAGAGAAAGGGAGGCAAAGACAAGGGAACAGGGAAGCTCATGGTTAGAGGAGGGGTGAGGGTGGAGCCAAGGAGTTTCCCCCTCAGCCCGCTGCTCTGGAAAGACAGACACCCCAAGGATGCTTGAACTGCAGTGGGAGGAACCTGGTTAGAAGTTTCGTGATTTCGAAAAGAGTGTTGTCTATGCTAGGATTAAACCAGAGGACGCAGAGAACTCTCTCTCTCCCTGGGATCTGTAAGGAAAGCCCCCACCTGCACATACACACGCACACATGTGCACACTTATGCATGCATACATATGCACACCATGCATGCATATGTACACACATGTGCACACACATGCCCCCCATGTGGGGTTCCAGTACTGTATGCACACAGCAGGCTGCCAGGTAGCTGATCCAATGCAGCAATCCCTGCCCCAGAGCCAGAACCAGCCAAGCTAGAGGCCTTTTGTTCTCGCTCTGGTGTGGTACTGATTGGCGGATGAAAGAACCTTCCTATTCGCCTCCCACCACCAAACCCGCACAGACGAAGCCGCTGCCTCTAAGGAGCAAAGTCAGAGTGGGAGGGCGGAGGCTGGGCAGGAATGAAGGCAAGTGCCATCCTCAGGAGGGAGGCTGAAAGGACTTTTGGGGGAAACGGGACACCATGAGGGACCCTCCCACCCCCACCCGGAGGTGGGAGGCAGGACAGGAAAGCTGAGAGAGCTGGCCAAGTGGGAAGAGAGGGGCAGCCGGGACCCCTCGCTAACACCCCTGCTACTGAAGGGCATTATTATTCTCATCAACTGGTTGAGGAGATGGAGGCCCTAAGTCACAGCTCTCCCCCATCACCTCACCTTATCTGGAAACCAAGCTTCCTGAAGTTTCATTTCTGTGTGTGCGTGTGAGTTTCTGTCTGTGTGTGTACGGGCATGCGCTATTTGACCCCAGCCTCTGAGGTCATGGTTTGGCCTCCTTTTCCCACATGGCCCAGCATGGGATCCATGAGACAGCTCAGGATGGCCAGGCTGTCTAGTGACCCACAGTTGGATATCTATTGTCTAGCCAGCCAGATGGGCTGACCAACCAAATAATCAACTCATCTCCCTCTGGAAGAATCCGTTTGTTGAGTGCCACTGATTGCCTGGTGGCCACAGATCAAAGCCCATCACCTCTGAAACCATCTGGGTAGGAGCCAGACCAATTCTTCCCGAGTCTTTGAAGTAGCCCCTCTGTGGAAATTTCCCATGGGACCCCACAGGGACCCACCACAGGCCTCTTTTTCCTGTGGGATGGAGGTGTCCAGCTCAGAGGGTTGGCCTTGCCATTCGAGGTCCACACCAGCCCCCTGGGCCTCTGTTGCAGGTGGGCCAAGCGGGGCCAAATCATCAAAGAGGCATCTGGAGAAGTGTACAGGACCACTGTGGACTACACATACTTCTCAGAGCCTGTCTCCTGCGAGGTGACCAACGCCCTGGGCAGCACCAACCTCAGCCGCACAGTGGACGTCTATTGTGAGTGCAGCGATGTAGGGGCTTCTCCGGGCAAGCAGGCACTGAGGTGGGGGATGGTCTCTGCCTTGGGCTGGAGAAACCATGGCTGCATTTATTGCACACAATGTAACCTTCATGCTTCACCAGCACATGATGCTTTGCAGAGCACAAAAAGCTGCCTCATATAGTGTTTCATATTTATTTTGATTGTCTTAATGACCCAGTGAGGCAGTGTCTTGGCGTGAGCCTCAATAACAAATTTTATAGATTAGGCGACTTAGATGACAGAAATCAGAGTGCCAGCATGGTTGGTTCTGGTGAGGACTCCCTTCCTGGCTTGCAGACAGCTGTCTTCTTGTTGTGCCCTCTCACAGAGAGGAGAGAGATAGCAAGCTCTCGGGGGTCTCTTCTCATAAAAGCACTAACCCCAACCTGAGGCTTTGATGGTGGATACAAATATGCAGTCCGTAATAGGTAGTATTCGACTCATTGTCTGGATGAAAAGGTAGAGGCCTGAGTCACCCAGTGAGTAGGCAGCAGAATGGGGACTGAGCCCAGGTAATGCCCAAATCTGTTGTCCGTCCACACACTCCACTGCTCCCCACCGAGAGGTCTCACAGATATACCCTCTTCCTCACTGTGGCCAGACAGGCGCCTACAGTGAGACAGCCCAGTGCTATGGACTAGCTGACTGGATGTGTTCAAAACAATGCCCCTTAGCTCAGGCAAGGCCCTTTACAGTTCTAAAGGCACTTTTACAAACGTGATTTAATCTGACTCCCCTACCCTGACAGCATCCAGGTGCTGTTGCTCCCTTTTTATACCCAGGGGTGCATCTCAGAGTCTGGGCCCCAGGTGTCAGCTCAGTCTCTCCCTGCAAGGAGGGTTCCCAGGCCTACCTGGCTGAGGCTCTGGGTCCCTGGCCTGAAATCCCACCATTGTACCAAGCTTAGTCTACAGGAGACTCAGATTATAGTTGATGTTGCAGGACAGTGAGGAGAAGCCTCCCTTAGTGCACTCCCACACTTATAAAGGGGTGAGAAACAGGACCAGGGGCTGCTAGATGGCCACAGGGTCAGGGAGGAGGCTGGGAGCTGCTGGAAGAGGAAACACCCAGGGAGGAGGTCTGGGGAGTGACAGTCCTGCCTCCCTCTCTATCTCTAAGCCCTCCACCTCACCCCAGAGGGCTGGGAGGGCTCAGGGAGCAGGGCCAGGTGCACAGAGTCATTCCAGGTCACCAAGACTAAGGCCTGGAGGGGGTGGGAGCCAATCTGAAGACTGAGGCATGACGATTCCAAGGCCTGAGATTTTCAGGGCAGGAGGAAGGACCCTCCCACACATTGGTACAGGGCTTCCCCGACTTTCTGAAGCCAAGTGGGACCAGGACAGCGGCAAGGGAGTGGGGGGGCCCTGGAGGTGAATCCACCTAGAAATTGGGCCTGAGAGCCTTTCCCCAGGGCAGGTGCTGCCTGCTTATCTCCCAAGGGGTCTCCTCCTTACTTCCTGAGTCCCACTCCCAGGCCCCAGGCCCAACCCGAGCAGAGGGAATGGGCAGAAACAGACTGAGGTGGCACACGTGCCCCACTGCCCCCTTCCTGTCAGGGCTCCAGGCATGAGTGGAAGTGGCAGCAAGGAAGATTCTAGAGCTCCTGGGCCCACTCCTGCCCTGTCTCCTCCTTCCTCCCCATCACAGTTGGGCCCCGGATGACCACAGAGCCCCAGTCGCTACTTGTGGATCTGGGCTCTGATGCTATCTTCAGCTGTGCCTGGACCGGCAACCCATCCCTGACCATCGTCTGGATGAAGCGGGGCTCTGGAGTGGTGAGTCCGACCCTCAGACCCAGCGGACCTCTGACCAGGGGTGGGAGAACAGAGTCGTGAGAGGGAACTCCTTCCAGGAACCCCTCACTGTTAGGTTGGAGGAGCCAGCTTCCACTGTAAGCCAAAGGAGGGAGGATCCAAGAAAGAGCAAAACCTAGATGCCCACAGGATCCCATCTCGCCTGGACCCATGCAGCCATTGAAGTTTTGCCCTATCCTGAGCCTCGTAAGAAAAGCAAAACACAGGGAGTGAACAGTCCCTAGAAAGGCTTTCCAACTGGGTGTGGTGGGGCACAGCACTTTGGGAGACTGAGGAGGGAGGATCTCTTGAGCCCAGCAGTTTGAGAGCAGCCTGGGCAACATAGTGAAACCCGGTATCAAAAAGAGAGAAAGAGAGAGAGGAAGCGGGGGGGGGGGGGTGGGGAGAGAGAAGGAAGGAAAGGACGGAAGAAAGGCAGGAAGGCAGGAAAGAAGAAAGGAAGACTTTAACTCCCCCAATTAAGTTACCCTGCAGCCTTAGGTTTACGCTTCACTTTCTCCCTGTGTTCCTCTTTTGAAACATCTGTCCTCTTCAGTGTGCCTAAGAGTTTGTCGGATGTCCTTGCCATCAGGAGGAGCAGCGAGGGCCTTGTGTTAGGGAAGTAGGGGGAGGCATTGCCCCACATATACACAAGGAAACAAAGAGACACTGGT